CAAAGGTAAGTACCGAGCCCGAAACTCTGGAACTGTCTACAAGGAAGGCTTTAGGATGTGGGGGAGGGTTTGTCAGGGTATAGCATACTATATACAGCGGCTACTTGGAGGTTCATGGGTAGTCATAAGTGGAGTTATAAGTCCCCTAATATAGGTTATAACTATAGTTACCCTACTTATAAGCCCACTTATGACTACCCATGAACCTCCAAGTAATGCTAAGTATTTAGACCCTGTGAAGCCGGCTAAGTGCAGTGTCCATGGCTCCGCAACACTCGCAGGCAACGACCAAAACCCGGAGAGGAGCAACCTCCAACTCAGTTGATGATTGGGGTTTAGGGTTTAGGGTTTAGGATTGGACTCTAACCTCAAACCCTAAACTAGGACCTAAACACAGAGCCCAAGAGTAAGTTTATCAAGGAGGCTCGCAAGGCAGTCTCCAAGAGGCACACATGTAGCCAAGCCACCCGTCGGCAGATGATATGTTGGGCATCGACCAAACCGGATCCGAAGTGCTTTCCGGCCTGGGATTCGAAGTCGTAATGGTTTCGGGTTTAGGGCTTGATTTGGATTTAGCTTGGCTGTAGCAGCTTGGGACGTCGGGGCTAAACATGTCCACTTCTGTCCTTCAGCTGTCTCTGGGCTTTAGGGTTTTGGGTTGCGAGGTTTAGGGTTTAGGGTCTATACTATAGACAGATTAGGTAAGGGAGGACTCTAACCGACAACTCCGACTGCTCCGTTCGATTCCCTGGAGGACTGCGCAACTCTTCGGGGGCTCCATAGCCCACTCCGTCACTGCACACCCGTTCTGTCAACCTCGGATGTAGTATATCGTTAGTAACAAATAGAATACCTTGCAGTAAACCGTAACCCTAAACCATAAACCGTCACAGGAAACCTACTTATGATAGAAAACTCGAAGCCCTCGACCCCAACCACAAGAAATCGAGGCATCGACAGAAGGCCAAACATAAGCGCAAGGGGGCGGTAGACCAGGTCCTGCTCAGAAAATCATCCTAAGCATGTAGTATAGAACTCTTATAAAGCATACCCCTAGAGAGACCCTTGAAGATCCCTTCAAGTAGCCCTAATCAAGTCTTATCTGTAATCCTACAGGTTTCATGGGGCCCAACTCCCGAAATCCCATGTCCTAAAGCCCGTAACAGATGAGCCAGAGGTCATCGCCTAAACCATGCTGTAGGGCTTTGGGGTTGCAGGTAGGGGCTGGCAGAGGGCCCAACTTGAGGAATCTTTCTTGCATGATATAGGGAGCCTCGTCTTATGGCTTGAGGAATCGTGCTGCTAGCGTGTAGGGTTTTGGGCTCTGTAGGAATCTTCGTGTGGCACTCGGGGAAGTGTCCAACGAATGAATGAGCATTTGCGAGTTTTGGAAAGGTTTCTGAACGGTTTTGTTAAGTACTATTTCTACTGCTACCACTAGTACTACTATTACTACCCACTACCATTAACCGCAACATCCGCGTGGGCTCTTTATTGAGCGCTTCTTAGGTTGTAGAGTGTCCTTATCGTGGGGTCCGTATGATAGGATTCTACTATCTAGGGCCTTTAGCCACGCTACCAACTTTCTGAAACTGCAAAATTGAACCCGCACCAGACCTTCTAACACACGACAAAAAAAGGTAAATCCTAAGCTCAAAACCAAGACCTCAAATCAACCCCAACACCCTAGAACTACCTGTTTGCCGAAGTTGCAATATGGGAGTTTCCGAAAGCAAGGGGTACCTTACTTTGGGGCTATAATAAGATGGATCCTACTATTTAGGTACTATATTAGGGTACCCTATTTTCGGAAACCCCCATATCCAAGCCCGACCCTCTAGCAACGCCTTTGGACTCACCCTGGTCTGGTCCTGGGGCAACTTCAAGTCGTTGGAGACATAGCTGCCATCCTCTCCGGCATATTGTAACGGGCCTTAAATAATCGGTTTCGGGGTTTAATGTAGTCTCCATCCCTAAACCCTAAACCCTAAACCCATAGACTACAGAGGCTGGAAGAATGAGGGTCCTGCACATATACTTTAAAGTTACTAGGGACAGTGTGATGACGTATTCCGGCCTCTGTAGGTAGGGCTCCCGGGCTGTGGGCTCGGGGTCTGTGTGGGGATTATGTTGAAAGGGGCTTAGGGTTTTGGAGTTTTTCGGTGTGTTGTGCGTGTGGAGCAGGATTTCTAAAATGGTCTGGTGTAGAATTGCTTTGCAGTTGTTTTTGATGAGGGGTGGCGGTGTTGCGGGTTTGACCTCCAGTCTAATGTGGAAGACTGAATAATTAGTTGTAGCATTTTTGGGATTCCATCATTTATGAATCGAAGAATATTCACAAGCATCCTGTTTTCATTGATTGAGGCCCTAAATTAGAGCTGGCTTGATTTGGAGCGGATATCTAAGGTTCCAAGCACTTAATTCTCAAACACTCTCCAAGATGTTAACCTTCAGAAACTACCATTCCAAACCCTTGAACCCAATTATCCGGTCCTCTGGACCCTCAGGGATAACATGTAAGGTCACCACTGTATGCAGTGTTCCAACAAATTCCGTAGAGCAGCCACGTGGCGCGCCCCTTTTGCGCGAAGAGAGACTCGCAGTTCCTTTTGGGGTTAGGGTTTAGGGTTTAGGGTTTAGGGTTTAGGGGTTTAGGGTTTAGGGTTTAGGTTTTATAGAGAACCTGGATGTCCTCTCAATCCACGTCTCTTTTTCCAACTTGCCCCCTTTTGAATCTTCTTCTTGCATCTATCATCTTAGGGGGCTGAGTACCCTAGCCCAAAAAAGGTTAACCTTTTGAATTATAGTAGGATTATAAGAGCCCCAAAAAGTTAAAGGTTACCTACTCAGCCACTAAGTCATCGCTAGTATATCATACGATATCATGACGCCCAAACCCCCAAAACACTGCATTATGGCGGGCCTTCAACCCGACACCCTAAGACCTTAACCCTAAACCCTCATGAAGACCGCTGTCCAGAACCCCAATCCAAAACCCTAAGCCCTACCACCTAACACCTTGCGAATACCCGAGGGAGCGGTCCGGCAGCAGCTGGCAGTTCGCCCTGTAGTACTCCCACATGAACAATGCCTGTCGCTTTCGTGGTCACTGGCGGATTTTGGTCCAAGGATGAATATAATTTTTTGACTACTATTGTTATTTGTCTACTAATAATAGTGATAGCAATAATAAGAGTAAAAAAGTAGTAGGTGTAGTAGTAGTAGTAGTAGTAGTAGTAGTAGTAGCAGTAGTAGTAATGATAATAATAGTTATAATAATTGCAATGACAATGATCTTACTATCTGTGATCATTGATATTGATCCAAGCCTTACACAACAGTACCAGGTTCCGGGTTGCTAGGGGGACTATGGCCGCCTTCCCGCAAAGATGGGTTCGGGTTTGAGTTGGAGCCCTAAGCCCTAAACCCCTAAACCCCCAAACCCTAAACCCCTAAACCCCTAAACCCTCAAACCCTAAACTCTAAACCCTGGGTAGAGATTGAAAGCTTTAGGTTTCAGGGTGTGGGGTTTGAAGGCTGCGTTGGGTTCTGGGGGAGTCCAGCGCTTGTGATGCTAAGGCTTTGGGTTTCGGGTTTCGGGTTTAGGGCCTTTATGATTCGCTTCGGGCAGAGGTTCCTGCTCGGCTGAAGATACCAGACCCTATCCCCGGAAAGACCTAATGTAGCGGCCTCCATACTTAAAAGAAAAGAGTTTTGGGGCCCATGATACTCTACTTATAATAACATAGGTAAATATTTAGGCCCTAAACCCTAAACCCTACATTAAAGCCCTAAAGCCCTTGTCGAGTCCCTTCAAGGTGTCTTGGATCTTAGCCTACCGGTCTCAAGAAGTGAGGGTTTAGGGTTTAGGGTTCAGGGTTTAGGGTAAGAAGTGAGACGTAGGTAGGCAGGTAGGAAGTTGTATGAGAAAGGGGACTGGGGAAACGTCTAGCTCGCTAGGATCGAGGACCCACATATTGGCTAGATGATATTAGGCCATAGTATAGTATCTTTAATACATCTAATAGTATCTGATAGCATATTATAGTTAGATCTAATGGTAGCTAGTAGTATATTATGTCATATCTAATAGCATGTTATTGTGTTTTATATTAGTAGATCATAGTACCTTACAGTATATTTTTTCGTATAAGGACCATCCTCTCGGTCGAGCCTTCATAGACTCAGTGCTTACCACGTACGCCGCCCATCCCCATCAAGCACTCCCTCTAGCTCCAATGGCCCTGAATGACCTGGAGTTTAGGGTTTAGGATTTTAGGGTTTAGGGTACTATTTCAACGGGTATACCCTATGTATGAGGGGTCATAACCCATCATTCCTACTAGTCTACAGGCTATACCTGTTTGGTAACGTTTAGGGTCAGAGGTCCAGCCTGACCCGTCGAGACGGGCATTGAAAAGATCTTCTCTGGCTTCACGGTGTCAGGTTGACATAGAAATCTGTCTCTCTTCCGCCTGGCTCTCCACCGCGTCTTGGCGAACTTCCATAAAGTCTGAGGTGTCTTTGAAAACCACAAAGTCTAGATCCATAATCTTGACTAGCCCTTCAAGCCATAAAACTCTAAAGCCCAAAATTGCCAAATTCCAGCACCTAAGCACCCCGCCTGTCCCTAAACCCCTAAACCCTAAACCTAAGCACCCCAGACCGGCCGTCGTGGGCCTGTAGCAGAAGCACCCACACAAACCGGAGCGGTACGCAAAGAAGAAGCTTCCGGCAGCCTCGGTCCCGTGGTTTAGGGTTTAGGGGTT